GAAAAAAAGACCTAAATCTAAGATACGGGGTCAAGACATCCATGCTCAGTTACTTTAGACTTAAGATTTTTAAATGACTTTTTATCTTTTTATTTTTTAAAGATTTTATTTATTTGAGAGAGAGAGAATGAGAGACAGAGAGCACGAGAGGGAAGAGGGTCAGAGGGAGAAGCAGACTCACCGCTGAGCAGGGAGCCCGATGCGGGACTCGATCCCGGGACTCCAGGATCATGACCTGAGCCGAAGGCAGTCGCCCAACCAACTGAGCCACCCAGGCGCCCCGACTTTTTATCTTTTTAAAAGCCTGTTCATGTGGTCTTGGTCCCAGGTGCAAAGCTGAGGGAGGACCATGCCTCATTTCGGGGACCATTTTTGTCTTTGGTGCATGGAGGCTCCTTCTGGAATTTATTCTTTTATCCCCATTCCCATTCCCCCCACCCTCCCATGGGCCACCACTCAAAAAAGTCTGATGTGTATTCATCTGTTTGTCAGTATTCTTATAAAAGATACTGTTGGGTTTGTGTGCAAACTTTTATTTAAACAATTTTTTGTAAATGGTTTTATGCTATACATTTTGTCTGTTTCTGTTTTCACTCACAGCCTTAAGGATCTATGTACATTGCTGTATGTCAGCTAGTTTGCTGCCTGTCCCCCCCAAATGGCACTCTGTGGCTGGCACCCCCATTTTACCCGCCCACCCTCCAGGGATGGACACCAGATTGCCTCCAGCTCCCACTACACATGCGGTGCCAGTGAGTCCCCTGGAACCAGCGCCACAGTTTCTCTGGGATATGTACCCGGAGGTGGGTTTGTTAGCTTGCAGGGCATATGTAAGCTTGATGTGACCACGTCAGCCAGGCTGCCCCCGAGCCAGGCTGCACTGGACTACTCTCCATCAGCCCCTAGACCTGGCCCACCGTCGGCCCTAACCACTTTCTAATTTATTGCCAGTCTGATAGTTGTACAGTGATACCTCATGGCTTCTTTAATTTGCATTAGTCAGAGGATTACTCATGAGTTTGAACCGGACTTTGGAGCTCTGTTAGCATAGTTAGGACACGTGGAGTGCTCAGAACTGTACCCAGCACAGACCCACTAGGGTATCTGTTGTTGTTCTCTAAATAGAAGCATCATTTAAATGATGGTTGGTGTAATAATGTCCTAATATAAAACTTACATTCTAGCGGGTATCTCTGCCCTTGAATTACGTTTAGTGTTACCTTCTGTAGCCCTCCAGCTGTCCACCATATACTTCTCTCCGTTTCCACGGCCCTCTGCTCGCCCCCTGCAGTCTCTGTGCCCTGTGCTCGCTCTGGACACCTCCTCACTCCAGCTCCAGCTCTCCACACTCCAGCTAGAGGGATCTTTTAAAAGTCTCTCCTGTCTGTGGCTTCCTACTTCTCTTACGGTAAAACCCTTACCACCGCCTGCGAGGCGGCCCCTCCTTATCCTGGCCTGTCTCTCTGCCCTCTGGCCCCACTGGCAGCTCCTCAGGGAACTTCCTCCCCACTGTTCCTTCCCCGTGGAATGATTTGCCTGCACCGCTGTCCCCCCCACCCCCCAAGTCAATTCCTTCTTAATCTTCACAGTTCAGTTTAGAGGTCACTTCCCCGGTCCCGAGACTGGATCAGTCCTCCAGTTATCCTTCCCTAGCTCTTCAGTCATCTGTAATCAAATCTTCAATCCCACAGGGCTCTCTTTGAAGTCCTTCTCCCTGCGGAGGGTGCAGGCTACCACTGTCCTGTCGCCCCATGTTCCAGCACCTAGCACAGCGCTCCGAGCTCCACCAGTCCCGCAGGGGCAGGTGTTGAATTGCCGAGGCCTCTTTACTGCAGAACAGTTGTAATCAAAGACAGCCAGAGGGGAAGACAGTCCTGCAACGAGACACTGTCCCGGAGCGGGTGCGGCTCACCGGGCTTATCTCAGGAGGACCCGCAAAGCCGCCTCACAGGAGCTTGCGACTCAGGCAAGGAAGAAGGGAGAGGCCCTTGTGGGAGATAAAAGCTCTGCGTCTTGATAACTGATAAAGCACAACCCAAAACACAAAAATCTTATTTTGGACAAAATGTACATGCTTTTAAGGGTGCCTGATTAAAATAAGGAAATCAAATCAGCAAGGAAAATAACTCTTCAAAAGGCCAGTCTCCATTCTGACTCAGCTCACAGCCTTTGTTAATCGAGTTCTGTTTCTTTCCCTACAAAGAGTACCTACTGATACTTCATTTTGCCTCTGTGTGTTTTCAAATACTATCCTAAGTAGTTTATTTAAAATACACCCAGTTGTATCAAGGATGAGGAAGACTTTTGTGAACCCTTGTCTATGGCAAATAAGCACCACCACCCCCCCAATGTATTATTGATATGAAGGTTGGTGGTCCTCAGGATTCCTTTCTATGTACATACAAGTAGATCTTCCCTGGGGGGTTGCATCCAATTCTGTGGCTTCAACCACTCTACTCCACTGAATCTCCTGTAACATCCAGCTGCCTTCTGGACTACTCTCCCTTGCTCCTGGGCACCAGAGATTGTACCTACCAACTCTGCTTCCCCCTTCTCACCTCACGAATGGTCACACAACCCATCCTGCCCACCCCCCAACTAGCAGCCTGAGCGGGTCCCTGACTCCTGTGTAGGAGGCCTACACTCAGGGGGGGCCTTGAAGTGGATGCAAGCAAAGGTCCTGCATGTAGCAGGTGAGAGGGCCCCAGGGCTGGTACAACAAGTGATTCAAGCCTTAGAACCTACAGGCAAGCAGAGGGGCTGCCTTCTGTGAGTACTAGTTCTTGGTCGGTCCCAGTGGTGTGGGAGTCACAGGCAGCAAGCCCACCATTCCTTGTGTTCCTTTGACTCGGGAAGCAAAGACCCCCAAACTTCAGGAGTCTCGGAGACTGAGGCCATGGAGAGCCTTATCCAGTGACTCTGGTACAAATCTCAAACCTGTTAACCACTCATTGGGAGCTTTAGGCAGGAGTAAACTAAAGTGAAAGCAAACTTGAGTCCATGTTGCCCTTCCTCCCTAGCCTGAACTTGGGCCAGACTCTAATTTCCAGCAAGCATAGTTCTTTCTCTCTGTCTGTAGATTTTACTAATGATAAAAATAGTGACCATACATTGAACTTTTACCCTGACCCTGTCTAAGCCCTTTTAATGCCATATCTTATCCTTCTAACACCGTAAGTGTTGTAGTTATGTTTACTGGGGCCTCCCTCCCTCTCTGAGTTCAGGATCAAGTTCCAAGTCCTCTTCATTTAAAAAAAAAAAAAAAAAAACCTTTCCATGACTTTGTGCCATTCTCCCCACACAGCCTTTTCTCCAGCTTCATTGCCTCCCCTGGAATGCCAGGCCCTATACTCTATTCCCACACCCTTGCCCAGCCAGTACCTGCCCCTCAAAGAACTCGTTCAGGCCTCCCTTGCTGTAGCCTCCCTACACTTAGCACCCTGCACACGTGCAGCTTTCGGCCACACTGATGAGCACACTCTGTCTCTAGTGACTTGCCTGTTGCCACAGTAGAAGGGAGTCTCTGCTAAGGCTGGACTGATGTTCTATTTCTCCTTGTCCCATCCCCCACACCGTGCTTGGCAGGGTAGGTGGCGAACAGTGAATGAGGGAGAAGTCAGACTTGGGCGTGTGACTTCTGTAAATTGAAATCTGTGTTTCAGCTTACACCAGAACTTTTTCAAGATCGAAAATGAGTCCTAAGCAAACTGCCCCTGCGGTGTGCTCTGGGTGCTCCCCGCCCCTCAGCCCCTCCCCCTCCCCCCTCACAGTGACATCTCTACATTCACATGTTTAAATATTCTTTGCATAAATAATTGCCAGAGAATCCTAGCCCTCCGTTCTCCAGCTTTCCACAATTGTTTAAGAATCTAAAATAGGAATAGATAGTATCTGGCCTATTTAAAATAACTATCCTGTGGGGCGCCTGGGTGGCTCAGTCGTTAAGCGTCTGCCCTCGGCTCAGGTCATGATCCCAGGGTCCTGGGATCGAGCCCCGCATCGGGCTCCCTGCTCAGCGGGAAGCCTGCTTCTCCCTCTCCCACTCCCCCTGCTCGTGTTCCCTCTCTCGCTGTGTCTCTCTCTCTGTCAAAATAAATAAGTAAAATCTTTTAAAAAAAATAACTATCTTGTTTGGTTGTTGGGTTCCTGGGCTAAGATTCAAAGAAAATCGATGTTTCCAACTTGATGGCAAATAGCATGAAGTTCTTCTAAACAGTTGAAATGGCCTCAGCGATATGGCTTTGTCAGGTCTAAAACAATGCGTTGGAATCGATGACAAGTTTAAAAGGCTACATGTGCATTTCCAGAGTTTAGAAGTACACCCGCTGGTGAAGCTGCCAGGGAGGGAGAGGCCACACATCTGAGGCTCTTCCGTGTCGGTACTCCCTCCTATCCTAGACCTCCGGCCTCAGCGCCAGGTCCCCTCTGCCCCAGGGTCTGGGGGTGGCTGCTTCCCTACTGTGTGTTGGAGCGGAGGCGTCCTCCTCAGGGTGTTCTCCTTGGCCACCTTAGTGAAAGTAGCCACTAATGCCCATCCCCCCTTCTGCATTTACCAGCATCTGAAAACCCATTATCTATAATGGGGTACGCCATTGCTGCCGTCTTCCCTGTTGACCATGACCGTGAGCAGCATGAGGGCTCTCCCGGGCCAGCGCCCTCCCAGGTGCATGGATGCACAGCTGCCTGGGGAGGGGCAGGGAGAGGCGCTCCCTCCCAGCCTGGCCTGCACGTGCCTGCTCTCCCAAAGCCAACTGGCCCCCTCGATACAACCATTTCCCTTTCTGAACTCCCCTTTGTGAGTACGTGTCCCACTAGCAAGCAGAATATCATGATCAGACCAAAATTTGAGATCTTTTCCCTTGCAAAAAATGACTGATTTCATTCCGGTATAAATGCTACAGCTACCATTTGCATGCCATGCTATCCCATGAGAGTGATTCTTCAATAGGAAGATGTTAACAGAGCTTCTACTAGGCTAAGATTCTGTTTCTATGTTTCAGGTTAATCCAAAGAAGGAATGTCAAGTTGACCTGGTGTTTACCACAGATCACTATAACCCAGAGGTAAGCTGCCATAATTGGTGAAGTATCCAAATTAGCAGCTCATGTGGGTTTATTTTTTTTAAAAAGTGAAAATCTGAATATATAGTGACCTGGAGGTTAGCCTCTGGTTTGGTTTTTTTATGCTTTTGAACATACGGATGCCTGGGTGGCTCAGTCGGTTGGGTGGCTGCCTTCGGCCCAGGTCATGATCCCAGGGTCCTGGGATCAAGTCCCACATTGGGCTCCTTGCTCAGCGGGGAGCCTGCTTCTCCCTCTCTCTCCTTCTGCTTGTGCTCTCTCTGTCAAATAAATAAAATCTTAAAAAAAAAAAAAAGAATTGAAGAACAGAACTAACAGGAACCCACGATGGAACTCCTTCAACTTCATGGCCTTATGCAGGGTTGCATTTAAAACAGTCCCCAGAGCCACCATCCCCTCCTTCCTTTGCCCCTGGGAGGGAATTTCGCAGTCCCTTTGGTACCCCTTCTAGCACCTCTGAATGCTTAGAATGACTCACTCCCAAATGTCAACCCGTTCCTCTTCCTGTCAGCTGTTGACATTTCTCGTTAGCAGGCTGGCATCCCATGAGGCTGATTCCAGGAGCTCCCGTACAAAAGTATTCTGTAAAACACAGAGCAGTACCAATGTATGCCACAGGCATTATTAATGCCTCTACGATCCTGACCAAGCCAGGTCATGGTTGCCAAGTTTCCTTTACCCATTCTTAGGAAGAGAGTAAACAGAAGACTCATACACAAATTAGAGCCAGATGAACTGCCATGTGCTGGGCTGAGTTGGGAGTCAGTAGCTGGAACTTAGATGGAGACCAGCCCAGATGCTCTTTGTGTGGTGCGTGAGTCAAAGCGGGCAGCATCACATTCAAGTATCTCGGGGGGCAGAGCTTCCGAAGGAAAGGCATGACCCCCAGCCCCCAGCCCAGAGGGAGGCTTCTGGAAGAATGCTTACCAGTACACAGAAACAAGTGCTAACAAGATAATGGTGTATTCTGACTTTGCTACTTCACCTAAGAATTAAACCTTTTCTTAAAGCATAAGGAAGACCCCTTTGATTTCTAGTGTTACAAACTGAAAGTGTTAGATTAAAGCTAAAGGGGAAACAATTACTAGATTATTTTGGCTAACAGTGTTTCTGTGAAGAGCACAACTAGCTAATTGAAATGTTCCATTTCAGAGGATGAGGAGAGTGCTTCGCTTTGATTCTGTGGAGCTGTTTTGGGGTGGGGTGGGGGCAAAAAGGAAAGCAAAAGGGGACAATACCCACTTCCTTTTCTCTTTCCTGGAAATGGCTTAGACATCAAAGGAAATTGTGTGCCAGGTCTCTATTCTGCCTTTGATAAGCCTCTTCTGGGATGCCCCCTTCACGTTCTGTGTTGCGGCTAATGATTAGGATTTTAATGCACTACTGAAACTTCCTCTCATTCGAAGTAGCACTCACAGGAGGAAGAGCCTCCCATTGGAAAGCATACTTCAGTTTTTTGAGTTAGTGCTAGACATGGACTTATGAAGCAGATCCAACTTTAATTAAAATTTGTTTCCTTGTGGGCTTTTTTGTTTAATGTTTCTTTTTGGTTGTTGTCATCCAGTTTCAATGACTGTAAAAGTGAAAAGAACTGAACTGCTCAATCAATCACTTGGTAACAGGAGTTCTTAACTAGGGGCCCATGGAAGGGTTTGGGTGGGGCCATGACAAAGGCCCATGAACTTCCGCCAATTCTAGGCTCAGTGGTGAGGGTCTGAGCATACGTGCACTTTTCTGGGAATAGATTCTGGCCTTTTTGTTGTTGTTGTTGAGGTAAGGAATTTGTGACCTATGAGGATGGAGAAGCCTATGGTTGAGTCATGCATTTAATGTTTACTTGAAGCATCCAGCTGTCTACCTCCAGGTGTCTCTGGATTGGAAGAAAAGTGAGGGTGATCCCAGAATACTCAGTATGTCTGCATTTAAATACAAATGCAAACAAACATCCCTTGGACTGGTCTATTTTGGGTGACATCTGCCTCCATTCCTTCCAGATTAGATCTTGGAGTAGAGAGCTGGAGTTAGCATAGGGCTAGGGCTTTGGCATCAGACAGACGTGAGCTCAATTCCTGGCTTAGCATTTACTAGCTGTGAGACCTTGGAGTAAGTTCCTCCTTAGACTTCAGTATCTTAATCTGTAAAGTTGGTATGAGAGAACTGAATTCATAAGGCAGTATGAGGATGTCAGCTTTGTTAAGGGGAACCAGCTTCATCTTTTGGTTCAAGTTAGCAAGTTTGAGGTCCAGCTAAGCATTATGTTGGTCCACAGCAGAGAGTAAAGTACCTACTGTCCTTGAGGTTTGAACCAAGCAGTACTCAACAGACATCAACAATCTTATCTTTCTTTCGAATATGCCCAGCATTACTGTATAAGGGCATCGTCAGAAAGCAGGAGTTTAAATGACAGCAAATAGTGAGGGACTTTTGTATTCAGCTGTGAGCACAAAAATCACTTTCCATAAAGCCAAGACCACTTGCATCTATATTGATGCCAATGCGTCCTGCCACATATGAGGAACTTCTCAACCCTGTGTGTACCTCTGTATTGGGGTCAGTGGGGAGTGATAAGTAGCCATTCTGTTTAATTCCAAAATCTTTATTTCAGGCTGGTGAGGAACGTTTGGGGAAATGTTCTGCTCGAGTGTTTTTCAGGAATCAGAAACCCAGACCGGCCATTAATGTAACTTGTACACGGCTCATTGAGAAGAACAAAAGACAACAAGAGGATTACCTGCTTTACACGCACATGAAGCAACTTAAAACCCCGTTGGATGTAGTCAGCATACCTGGTACGAACTAGTGTCTGGAATTTCTGTATTAGGAAATGTATGTAATGACTGAATCTTAAATAGAATTATCATTTATATTTTTATCCCCAAAGTGGCACTTTAATTCATCTACAGAATGTGGTACACCTCATTATTCAAACAGAACTCGGAAGTCTCATTTTCCTGTTCTTCATCTCCAGGACAGAATGGTAACTCCATCAAGAGCTCTCTGTGCCCTTCTAATCTCCCCACTTCCCATCCCAGGCAAGGGTCAGGGCAAGAGCTCAACTTTCAAAGAAGAGGTAGAGTTGCCGCAGGATCAGAATGGGGTGGGGTGGGGTGGGGTGGGGTGGGGGGCAGTTTTCTGGGCTGAGTCCAGAAGCCTGAGGTGACATTTCTAAAGATTTGTGGTGTTGGCCTTGGAAATTTATGTGATGAGACACCATCGCCAGACCCCCACGGGGCCCACTGCAGACTTGGGTGCAGGGCTGGGCGAGCCAGCCTCGGGGCCTTGCTGGGAGGCTGCCGCGGAATCAAGTTTGTCTCATTTAGGTCGAGCTAATGGGCAGCGGTGCCGTCTTTAATAAGAAATGAGCCCTGCGCTCCGAAGTGACTCAGCTGAAGTGAAGCAGGGCTCATTTTTTCTGATGCTCAGTACTATTCAGTGTGTGTGTGGGCAGAGTTGAGACTCAGCACTTACTGGCAAATCCAATTTGCAAAACCACAAAAGTCATCTCTGGACTTGTGCTTGGATATTAAGCTTGACATCTGACCGCTGTAGCACTCGACATCCCACACTCTCTCCAGCTCCCTCCTTTGCGAGGGACATTTGCTAGTGACTATAACGGACCCATGTCCACATGGCAGGACCTGTGGTCTCCACTCCTGAGTGCATCTGTGCCCCCTCCATTTGTCGAGACTAAGTAGTCTTAAAAACCTGCAGGCAGAATACTGCTCCTTGCCTTTCTAAAATTTAGAAGCTTGGATGTTTCTCATAGTAACTCTCTGACGACTCAGCTTAAATCCTGTTCCAAAGAATTATGAGGGACATTCAAAATCTTACGTTGTAGTAGAATTTGCTTATATTTAATACTGTCTGAAATAAATGGGATAATGACTGATGCTTACAACCTACAGTTATTTAGGAATTTTCCCCCCTTTTGCATTAGGTGGGGAAATAAGATTTTATATATTCTCCTTAAAACACAAATTTTAGAAATTGTATAAGACCTTTTCTTTGAATATTTGCTATAGGATCACTAGACTTTGGACAGTTTTTAGTAGTGAAGGTAAACTGCCTTATGTTCAGTTAATAAGTCCTCCATGCCCACAAGGATCATTCTGTAACAATCTAACTTAGTGTGGCATGAAGTTCCAAAAACTTCTTTAATAGAGGACACCTTTTTATTAACAGTTTACAACTTCTGTTGTCACTTTAAGTTCAGTGGTGGCATATAATGGTACTATTTATAGCCTATCTGTGTACACAAAATTATTAAAACTGGAAAGGTTTGGTTTTAGACAAAAGTGAGTCAGAACTGTGGAGCTGTCCTTGGATTGGCCAGTTCGGATCTCAGCAGCCTCAGTTCAGTGTGTAGTCGATCGGGGGCTCTGGGCTCCGTCAGGCAGCGTTCTCTACAACTGATAGGTGAGACCATTTAATCCGTTTCAGGATATCCTTGCTCCACACTGTTTTTCCCCTAAAAAAGTGATCCTCTGGTTTTTATGATGAGTACAATTTTCACTTTTCTAATGAATTTACAAGCGTCCTTTAGATGAGCCCACGTACACTACAGAGAACAAGACTGAAGACCTGGGAAGAGCCGGCCCAGGTCCGGCCACCTGAGTGATTCTCTAGCGGTGCTGTCCACATTTTTAGGTTCAGCTGTCCCGTTATTCCCAGCATTTCGTGTAATGAACTTGCCTGCTAGCGGTGGGCTTTGGTGAGCTCACAGTGGCATGTCAGGTGAAGCCTGTGATGGTAGCTGGATGAAGGAAGCTCTCACTCTCTCTCACTCCCACCCCCACATACAGCACAGGAGTCCGAGGCTCAGCTCAAACCTCCTCTCTGTGAAGCTTTCCGCAGACTTCTCCAGCCCAAAGAAACCTCTCCCTTCCCTGTGCTCTGTCGGCATTTTGGTCCTCCTCCTCTTGAGGAAGGTATCAGCTGTGTTTCTGCAGCGTCAACAAGTGCAGGGTAGGGACCCATCTTCGGGGCTCTCGCAGCATCTTGAATCGACCATCATTGTAAGCCAGCCAAGTCAGGTTCCACCAGGACGGAGAAGAATCTGTGCTAAAGATTATTTTTCCAAGAAGGATTAGTTTCCTAATAAGTTTGTTCCTGTTCCTCACATATTATACTGTTATTGAGCCTTTATTTAAACTAAGAATATCTCCACCAAATTGCATAAAATGATGGTCCGTGAACAGTTATCTCATAAATTAATTATGGGCTAAAATTTGAGTTCCTAAAAGTCACAAAAGGTAATTTCTTATCATTGTATCCCTACCTCTAGCAGTGTCTGATATGCAGTAGGTTTCTAGGGGTGTACGCTGAAATAAAAGGACTGCGGTTCCAAAAACAATAGCACAGAAAAAACTCACTTTATTTCTTCATGCGTTCAAAATCAGTAACAGAGATACTGCCAATTCATTGATTAGCTTTAAAGCCAATGATCAGAGAAGGACAGACATTTGGCAATTGGTAAAGACCATTCGTTGCAAGGACTGCAGACCCGGACCGGAAGGTAATGTGGAGAAGAGAATTGATAGACTTTTCAATCTAATTTAAAAATACTTCTCAACTAACAAGACTTTAGATTAACTTTGAGTATCATAGCTGTTACTTTGCATTAATACGGTACAGCAAAGAGCCCTTAATTCTTTTATAGTACCTTTACTCCGAAAGCACATGTTGAAGCACATAAATCTGCATATGATGCAGAAACAGATAAGAACAAATCGTGTCCAGCACAAGGCCTTGCTGTAAGAGAGGACTGATGTGGCTGAGCTTACATTCCTGAAACATACGAAATTGTGTCTCCAAAATGCCATAAGGAAAATGTCCTTTTTTTTTTTTTCTTCCTCTCAGACAGTCATGGACACATTGATCCCTCTCTGAGACCCATTTGGGATTTGGCTTTTCTTGGCAGCTCTTACGTGATGTGGGAAAAGACAACCCAGTTTTTACACTACTACATGGCACAGATCAGCAGTGTTAACCAATGGGTAAGAGAAAATCCCCAAAATTAATTTATGTCATAAGAGATACAACCAATGCAGTGTTCTAAGACTAAATTAATGTGAATTTCTTAGTTTTATGGAAACAGTTTTACTTGCATTTCATTCATTCAGTACATATGTCCATGCCTGCAACGGACCAGGTATAGTTTTAGAGTCTGTGGACATAGCAGTGAACAAAAAACACAGTGTAGCTGCCCTCATTGAAATGAATTCTGGTGAGAGAAGATAAAGACAGTGAACTAATAAACAGTTAATATGTATCAAATGGTGGTAGTAAGTGCTATGGAAAAAATCAGGGGGAAGGGAATGCAAGGGATTGATAGAATTGCTACTTATATTTTCTCAGGTAAGGCCCCTCTAATTTGACCAGGGGTGACAGTGAAGCAGAGACCTAGGGGAAGTGAGTGAGCCCTGCCTCCATAAGGGAAGACGATTTCAGGCAAAAGGAACTGAGGACAGCAGTGTGGCTGATGGGTTGGAGAAATAGTAGTGGGGCTATAGGGCTACTGTGACTGGAAGAGTCAGCAAGGGGAGTGCACCAGAAGGTGAAATCAAATGGAGAGGACCAGTTCCTGTAAGGCCTCACAGGCCAGTAGAAGAACCTTGTCTTTTACTCTTTAGAGGGTTTTTAGCACGGGAGTGACATGATCTGACTTACAATACCATCATCCTGGCTGCTGTGTTGAGAACAGACCAGAGAGAGACAACAGTGGAAGCAGGGAGACCAGGGAAGTGTTGCAATAAATCTAGACAAGGCCTGGGGGTGACTGGGACCGGTGGTAGAAGTGGAGGTGGTAAGAAGTGTTTGCAATCTTCATATAGTTTGAAGTCAGACCAACACTGTTTGTTGGTGGGTTGGATGTAGATCAATCCAAGAAGGAGAAAAGTCAGGGATGAATCTTAGGATTCTGACCTGAGTAACTGGAAGGATAGAGTTTTCATTTACTGATTGGGGAAGACTCCAGGGGGAACAGATTTGGGAAGACATGAGCTTGATTTGGGGCAGACTAAATTCTACTAAATTACCATGTGGATGGTATTTAAAGCCCCAAGAGTGGATGACATCACAGAGAATGTGTAGATAGAGAAAAGAAGTTCTGTATGGAGTCCTGCAACACTTGTAACTTCAGAGGTTGCAGATATGAGAAAAGAAGGTATTTCAAGCTTGACTGTATCCGGTGCTGCCAGAGAATCATGTACAAAGAGGCCTGAGATTGAGCATTTGGCTTAGGATGGTTGGAAGTCATTGGAGAGCTTGTCCAGAGCTGTCTCACTGGTACAGTGCAGGCAAAAACCTGAGTGAAGTATGTTGGGAAAGACCGGGAGAAGGGAAGTGGACACTCCATCTCTTTCAAGGAATTGAGCTATAAAGGGGAGTACAAGAAAGCGAGGGGCTGTAGCTGCAGGATGGGTGAGCACAGGGTTGAAAGAGAGTTGGTTTTCTGTTGTATTTTTAGGTTGGAAGGTTTAACAGCATATTTATGTGTTGATGAGAAAAATCCAGTAGAGAGGGGCAAAGGAGGACTTGTAGGAAAGCAAAGGAAGAACTGCTGGAGCTCATATCTTTGAGTAGGCAAGAGGATAGGATCCGTCCAGGAGATGCTCTTAGACAGGAACATGGAGAGTGCATCTGGATGGCGGGGCAGTGGCCCAGATGCCAACAGGAGGCATGCAAGTTCTCACTGCTTCTGTGTTCTCAGTGAGGAATAAGACCAAGTCATCATGTGGGAGCAAGGTTAAGAGCAGAGGTGTTGGAAGTGTGGGGGGTGCATGGACTTGGCATTGTGCAGCCCTGCAGCCTCCCGGAGGGAGCTGTGCTCATGTATATAGAGGAGGACCAGTCATGCTAAGCTGTCTGGGTGTGGGTGGAGTAGGCAGAGAGGTGGACGTAGCCCAAGTTGGGGTTCTTGTCAGGAAAGTGTTATGTAGAGAGAGAGGGGCATTTCCACAGGAAACAAAGTCAATTGCTCTAAGAGAACCTTAAGTACAAATTTCTAAAATCTGTTTTCTTCATGGATGGGTGAAACAGTGGATTCACCTGTGGATGGATCATTAGTGAATATCTTCTGAGTACAAAGATTTGCCCATCATCAAGTAATCACTTTTTAAAAAAAAATTTTATTCTTTAAGTATAGTGGATAGTCAATGTTATATTTCAGACGCACAGCATAGTGCTTGGACACTTCTGTACATTAGCCAGTGCTCACTACAAACTGTTGTTACCACCCATCACTGTGCAACATGCATGCGGTATTATTGGCTATGTGCCGTGGGCTGTACGTTCATCTCCGTGGTTTATTTATATTATAACTGGACGTTTGTACCTCTTAACTGGCTTCACCTAACTCACCCATTTCCCCTATTCCCCCCTCTGATAAACATCAGCCATCTGGACTTATGAGTCTGTATTGTTTGTTTGTTTTGTTTTTTTGTTCTATATATAAGTGAAATCACATGTGTCTTTCTCTGCCTGGCTTATCTCATTTACTACAGCACCCTCTAGGTCCATCCACGTTGTTGTGAATGGCAAGATCTTCTTTTTTATAGCTGAGTAATATTCCATTTCAATCCATACCATATATTCCTTATCCATTCATCTAGCGATGGACACTTAGATTGCTTCCATATCTTGGTTAATTGTAAATGATGCTGCAGTGAACAAAAGGTGTGTATATCTTTTCCACTTAGTGTTTTCCTTTTCTCTGGGTAAATACCAAATAATGAGATTACTGGATTGTGTGGTATTTCTATTTTGAATTTTTTGAAGAACCTCCATACTGTTTTCCACAGTGGTAGCACCAGTTGACATTCCCCCACCAGCAGTGTGTGAGGGGTCCCTTTTCTCCACATCCTTGCCAGCCCGTGTTATTTCCTGTCTTTTTGATTTTGGTCATTCTGACTGCTGTAAGGTGATATTTCATTGTGATTTTGATTTACACTTCCCTGATGATTAGTGATGTTGAGTGTCTGTTGGCCATCTGTTATGTCTTCTTTGAAAAATTTCTATTCAGGCCCAATTTTAACCAGATTGTGTGTGTGTGTGTGTGTGTGTGTGTGTGTGTGTGTGTGTGTGTGTTGAGTTGAATGAATCCTTTATATATTTTGGATATTAACCTCTTATTGAGAAATTATTTTTAAATATCTTCTCCTATTCATAGGTTGACTTTTTGTCTTGTTGGTATTTTCCTTTGCTGTGTAAAACCTTTTTATATTGGTGTAGTCCCAATAGTTTGTTTTTGCCTTTGTTTCCCTTGCCTCAGGAGACATATCCATAAATATGTTGCTAAAAGCAGTGTGCAGAACATACTGCCCATGTTTTTTTAGAAGTTTTATGGTTTCAGGTCTCACATTTAGGTCTTTAATCTATTTTGAGTTTATTTTTGTGTGTGGTGTATGAAAGTGGTCCAGTTTCTTTCTTGTATGTAGCTGTCCAGTTTTCCCAACACCATTTGTTGAAGAAACTGCCTTTTCCCCATTGTATATTCTTGACTGCTTTGTCATAGATTAATTGACCATATAGGCATGGGTTTATTTCTGGGCTCTCTATTTTGTTCCATTCTCTATGTGTCTGTATTTCTGTGCCAGTACCATACTGTTCTGATTACTACAGCTTTGTAGTATATCTTGAGATCTGGAATTGTGATACTTCAGTTTTGTTTTTCTTTGTCAAGATTGCTTTGGCTATTTGAAGTCTTTTGCGGTTCCATAGAAATTTAGGATTATTTGTTCTAGTTCTGTGAAAAAGTCTGTTGGTATTTTGATAGAGATTATATTAAATCTGCAGATTGCTTTGGGCAGTAGGGACATTTTTTTTTAGTTTTTTATTGTTATGTTAATCACCATACATTACATCATTAGTTTTTGATGTAGTGTTCCATGATTCATTGTTTGTGCATAACACCCAGTGCTCCACGCAGAATGTGCCCTCTTTAATACTCATCACCAGGCTAACCCATCCCCCCACCTCCTCCCCTCTAGAACCCTCAGTTTGTTTTTCAGAGTCCATCGTCTCTCATGGTTCGTCTCCCCCTCCGACTTACTCCCCTTCATTCTTCCCCTCCTGCTATCTTCTTCTTTTTTTTCTTAACATATATTGCATTATTTGTTTCAGAGGTACAGATCTGTGATTCAACAGTCTTGCACAATTCACAGCGCTCACCGTAGCACATACCCTCCCCAATGTCTATCACCCAGCCACCCCATCCCTCCCATCCCCCACCACTCCAGCAGCCCTCAGTTTGTTTCCTGAGATTAAGAATTCCTCATATCAGTGAGGTCATATGATACATGTCTTGCTCTGATTGACTTATTTCACTCAGCATAACACCCTCCAGTTCCCTCCACGTCGTTGCAAATGGCAAGATCTCATTCCTTTCGATGGCTGCATAATATTCCATTGTGTATATATACCGCATCTTCTTTATCCATTCATCTGTCGATGAACATCTTGGCTCTTTCCACAGTTTGGCTATTGTGGACATTGATGCTATAAACATTGGGGTGCACGTACCCCTTCGGATCCCTACATTTGTATCTTTGTGGTAAATACCCAGTAGTGCAATTGCTGGATCCTATGATAGCTCTATTTTCAACTCTTTGAGGAACCTCCATACTGTTTTCCAGAGTGGTTGCACCAGCTTGCATTCCCACCAACAGTGTAGGAGGGTTCCCCTTTCTCCACATCCCCGCCAACATCTGTCGTTTCCTGACTTGTTAATTTTAGCCATTCTGACGGGTGTGAGGTGGTATCTCATTGAGGTTTTGATTTGGATTTCCCTGATGCTGAGCGATGTTGAGCACTTTTTCATGTGTCTGTTGGCCGTTTGGATGTCTTTGGAAAAATGTCTGTTCATGTCTTCTGCCCATTTCTTGATTGGATCATTTGTTCTTTGGGTGTTGAGTTTGATAAGTTCTTTATAGATTTTGGATACTAGCCCTTTATCTGATATGTCATTTGCAAATATTTTCTCCCATTCTGTCGGTTA